CGTGTGGCATACAGATGCTTTATAAATATAGTTTTGTTGTTGTTTGCTCAGGGGATTAAAATGTATTTGTGAGGTCAAGGTGACACCTTATAGGCAACAGTAATACAGAGAATATAATTTAGAGCTGACTTGGCATGACACATTTCCAGTGTTGTGAGCATTTAGGAAAAAAGGAGATTAAGGACTTTTTGGCTGGGCACGGTGGCTCAAGCCTGTAATCCCAGCACTTTGGGAGGCCAAGATGGGTGAATCATGAGGTCAGGAGATCGAGACCATCCTAGCCAACATGGTGAAACCTGGTCTCTACTAAAAATACAAAAATTAGTTGGGTGTGGTGGCACACACCTGTAGTCCCAGCTACTTGGGAGGCTGAGGCAGGACAATTGCTTGAACCCAGGAAGCGGAGGTTTCAGTGAGTCAAGATCTTGCCAGTGCACTCCAGCCTGAGTGCTGGGTGACAGAGCGAAACTCTGTTTTAAAAAAAAAAAAAAAAAAAAGGACTTGTTAAAGAGAACTTAAATTGGCCTTTGATAGGTGGAAGAGTTTAGTTGGGTGCAAGTACAGGGAAGTTTGACATTGATGCCATCTTTTAGAATTAAGAGGTACCCATATGTTATGATCATTATGAGTAAAAGGATTGATAACCAATTAGGCCTGATGAAGGCCAAGGAATTCCCATGTATTTCCAGGTTTCTGTACTCTGCATGGCAGTTTGCTGTTGCATGTCTGTCATCCACACTAAATCTGAAGTAGATCTATGTCTGTTTAGAACTGTAGCTGGCACAGGGTAGTGGGTTTAATAACAGATGCAAAATGTGGGACTGACAGGATGTATGCCCCTGCAAACAGGATGGTGCTTAATCCCTTGGAAAGTAACGTAATGCAATTCAATGCAAGATTTCACAGAGACTTTAGATGATTTTGTTTCCCAAGAAAACCTAACAGAATTATGCAGCTGTACGCCCTTGGGATGGGCACCAATAGACCAAAAAAAAGTATTCTTTTTCAAAGAGCAGACTAAATTTTGCCTCATTTCCCCCACGATGTTTGCTCTCTGCTTAGGAAGAAGCAAAGCACACCATTGATGTGTGTGGGTGTGATCAGTAGCATCTTCTAAGAGATCTACAAAGAGATATTGCAAAGCCAGGGCTATCAGTGATTCCTTTGTGAAACATTGGGCCAGACATTCCGTAGCCCCGTCCTGCTCTGGTGATCACATAAGCAGATATTCTGGAAGCACTTTCTCTACAGATGGAGAATTGTCACCATCTGCCAGGACAGCTCCTGCTCATCTTTCATGACTCAGCTCAAATGTCATAACTTCAAGGGGCCTTCAGCTCTCTGGCCCTCCCTGCCCCCATGAAAGCTCTACCCAGTATTTTGCTCCTTCAGCTGCATTAGAAGCACTTAGCTCTGCTTGTTAATTGTTGGTGGAATTGTCTGTAGACTGTGACCTTGAGTGTGCAGAGTCTGGTAGAGTCATCTCTGGATCCCCCACTCTGAGAACCATGTTTGGCCACTGCAGGCTCTCAACAAAGGCTTGCTGAGGGGATGAATGAATGAATGAATGGATGGCATGAATATATGGGCTCTGGTGAATTTTTTGTCTACATTTTGCTGGTCAGCAGCTGCATTAGGTCTACAAACTGAACACTTTGGCTCAAGGTGTCAGAGCTGCTCTCCTTCCAGTGAAGGCTTGGATGGAGTGAGATGCAGGTTATGGGGATATGTGTCACCTCTACTCCTCATTCAGAAGGATACATACCTCACTGGACCATAAAAAATGAGAACTGAATTCTCTGCGTGTTTGAATAAACTTCCACCTTGTTGCTCTACTACAATCTGAGAAAATTTCACTGCACAAATAGAGGCAGTGTACACCCCTCACAGACACTTTCCTTTCTCCTGTTGAGAGGTGAAACCAGCTGGACTTCTGGGTCGGGTGGGGACTTGAAGAACTTTTTTGTCTTACAAGAGGTTTATAAAATGCACCAATCAGTGCTCTGTGAAAATGCACCCATCAGTGCTCTGGGACTAGCTAGAGGTTTGTAAAATGTGCCAATCAGTGCTCTGTAAAAACGCACTAATCAGCACTCTGTGGCTAGCTAGAGGTTTGTAAAATGGACCAATCAGCACTCTGTAAAGTGGACCAATCAGCAGGACATGGGTGGAGACGGGAATAAAACCTGGCCATCCCAGCCAGCAGGAGCACCATGCTCGTGTCCCCTTCCTCGGTTTGGAAGGTTTATTCTTTCACTCTTCCCAATAAATCTTGCTGCTCCTCACTCTTTGGGTCTGCACCACCTTTAAGAGCTGTAACACTCACTGCGAAGGTCCGCGGCTCCATTCTTGAAGTCAGTGAGACCATCAACCTACGGGAAGGAACAAACTCTAGACACACTGTGTTTGAAAAAAATATCAGGTAAAACCATGAGATACCATTGGCTCCCTTCTCTAAAGAGATGGAACCCTGCCTTCAATATCAAAGGTTGGGTGCACTGGCAGTATCTTTGCATGCAAATTGCTCCATTGCTGCTGTTTTGCTGCTCTTTGAGTAATTCCAGTTTTGCTTTCCTGGGAATGAAGTTTAGTAAAATGAGAAATGTGGATGCCTATGAACATTTCTGCTATATCCTTGAGACAAATAATGGAACAAATTGTTCTCTGTGGGGTTCCATTCAGGAACCTGGAGGCATGGCATTGTTAGTATTATTATCATTAGCAGCATGGCAACTTAGTCTATTTTCATACTGGCAGCCAAAAAAAAAGTAATATTTAACTACTTGGCCATCCAGAGAAGTGTTATGGATTTGCAATTTTGCACTTTAGTGGGGTAATAGAAGAGGTACAGAAATGGAAGCTGTTTTAAATTTTCATGCAAGGGTAGAAACACAGAAGATCTGTGAATAGATTGAAGCTTTGGTCAAGAAATGGAGGTGGTTGTTCGATTTGAAGGTCTTGAGTTCTCCTCAGGCTAATTGTGGACAGTCTTTTCTTGACTAGCACATATCAGCCAGCTGGGTTTTATATTATAGAATTAGCCTTTCAAAAAGGACAGTGCATTGTTAGCTTAGTTACTATGTAGTAGTGCAATGAGATGATGTATGAGGATGTATTTTGACAACTGCCAAGTGCTGTGCATGGGAAGGATGACAGTGATGGTGATGATCATGATGATCATGATGATTTATCAGCAGACATTCTAACCCAGAGATAGTTGTGTCCTGTGGGTAAATGAAGGTCTATAGCCTCATAAATCACAGCAAATCAGTCCCCTGAGTCCCAGCAAAGGAGACACAGGTGTGGAATTCCACGTGTAGCTGGAGTTCAGAAGCTCCAGGGGATTGAATGCTAAGAGCTTTGTATCTCTGTAAGAAGTTCTCTGTAAGAAGTCATCTCTGCGAGAAGTCACTCTTGCATTGAAGGCATTGCGCTAAAAGAAAAACTTGATTTGCTATTCAGAGAATCATGTCACTTTGGTTGTGCTGACACTGCCCTACTTTTATACACCATACCCACATGCAGTCCCTAAACACACATCCTCACATTATACATGTACCCCATGTGCACACATAGACAGCTCCATGCACACACCTCCCATCCGATGTGCACACACTGGTATCTACCACCCTGATAAATATACCCCGTCTGTATTTTACATGCAGAGCCCATATACCCCCATACATGTTTTCTCTCTAATCTCTCTCCATGTCCACAGCCTCCATCCCTTATTCATGTACCCCTCACATCCTTCATAAATAAACATCTTGCACATCTGTACACACCCCCACATACCCCACTCTTACATAGTATTCCATGTTCTCCCTCATCCCACATACACCCCACTACATGCAGACCCATAGAATGTACTCAGACACTCGTATACGTAGTCATGCATGCATGCAGGTGGTCACGGTGTGTCTGGGGTAGAGAGAGGTACAACTGTTGAGGGACAAGTTAATCTGTGCATATTTATTACACTTAAGCTGTCATTCTCTTCCCCCTTTTCTGCCCTTCCCTCCTGGCTTCCTCCCTGACAATTGTTTGTAGAGCAACTCTTTTGAGTTTGCATAAACATCCTTTGCTTTGCCTAAAATGTAAGTATATGACCTCAATTACAATCTATTAACCTTTTCAAAAATTAATGAATTAATTTTTGTTTTATTTTTATAGATTTAGAGAGTACAAGTAGTTTTGTTTCATGGGTATATTGTATTTTGGTGAAATCTGGGCTTTTAGTGTAAGCATCACCTGAAAAGTATACATGGTACCCATTAATTTCTCATCCACCACCCCTCTGACACCCTCCCACCTTTCTGAGTCTCCAGTGCCTATCTTTCTACTTTCTAGGTCCATGTGTACACATTATTTAGCTCTCACTTCTAAGTGAGAACATGTGGTATTTGACTTTCTGTTTCTGAGTTATTTCACTTAAGAAAATGACCTCCAGTTCCATCAATGTTGCTGTAAAAGATACAATTTCATTATTTTTTATGGCTGAGTAGTATTCTGGAGTACGTGGGTAGGTAGATAGGTAGGTAGGTAGATAGATATATACCACATTTTCTTTATTCAGTTATCTGTTGATGAACACTTAGGTTGATTCATCTTTGCTATTTTGAGTAGTGTTGTGATAAACATACAAGTACGGGTATCTTTATCATATAGTGATTTCTTTTCCTTTGGGTTGATACACAATAGTGGGATTGCTGGATCAAATGGTAGATCTATTTTTAGTTATTTGAGAAATTGTCATACTGTTTTCTACAGAAGTTATACTAATTTACATTCCTATTTTTTTGATGAACTCAGATGAAGAAAGTTTCTTAAGAAGAATTCATTTGGGGATATGTTTGTATTTATTCAGCTGTTCCCATTACCAGATCATTGAACCATTCTAGAGACTTCAAATCCATTGAGATGGGATTAATGCCTTTGCCTGCTCAGACAGAGGACAGAATGACCATTGGAAGTGTTCATCAGTATTTTCCTGCTCTTAGATGGAAAGGCCAAGGCCACCCCAAGCATGCTGAAATTAGTGGGCCATCGTCAGGAAGAAGTTCGGAACTACATATGGAACCAGGTAACCGCTTTTCATTTTCCCTTAGCTGAAAAAAACTACTAGTTCAAAGACATTGATGTAAGTGGCACAAGGGGCATACATTTTGCAATTTGTCTTTAGCAGCCCAGCAAGATGAGATTTTAAAGACTTTGTGGCGTCTTCTCTGTCATCTAGAAGAGTTCTTTGATTTTTGCACAGCTGTGAAATGTTTAGTTGCTTGCCTTCTTATGCTAACCACATCTGGAGCTCTCTGAGACTACCAAATGGCCTCCTGCTTCTTTGGTTTCTCCAGTTAAGAGCTTAACTCTGAATTGATTATTGTGGATGCCTGTGGAACCATTGCAAATTTCGTATAATGGTGAACTCGTACCTCTAGAAGACAGAAAAGCTTTGGAAATAAAGCCATCGACCTCAAACAGGAAATTCTGATGTATTTTCCCAGAAGGTTTAACAAGGAGGAGCACTTTCTCAGAATCACTGCCTCACTATTTCATGCCCACAGTTAGACTCACTGTGGACTGATCCAGCATTGCCAGACACATAAGGATACCAGAAGTGGAGGGAGAGGAGAAAATGTAATCTATTTATAAGTGGGACTCAGAAAGGCACATGGAGATGCTTCAAATGCATAGCGTTTTGCTTCCTGTTTTTTGTTTTTGTCTAATTTTGTACTCTATTCCAGTTTTCCATTGAGCTAGAGAGACATATGATCTAAAACTGGAGCATATCTAGAAACACATGCCACTTCAATTGCAGTGGTATGAAAGCTGCATGCAAGGACCTAGGACTGACATCCACCAATATTATTGCATCACTGGGGTACTTGTAAGAATCAAATCACATTAGGGAGGTTAGGAGGATGAGAAAACTCATTGCAAACTGTGAGGAGATAGACAACTGTTCATTAGTCTTCATCTGTCAGTAGCCTTCCTTAAAATATGAAGGCTTTTTTTTCTGCAAATTTTATAAACCAGATGACACTATTTTATGGATCTGCAATTAATCCAAGTCTTCTTTGAAGATGGGGGAAATAAATTTGTCTTTACAACATCTCCAAGAAGAGACCAACAGTCCAGTAGATGATTAGAAAGTCAGAAATTAATTGGTTGAACATTTTTATTCTCCTTGGGCATTTGAACCCAGAAAAGGGAGACAAAGGCACCCTCAGAGTGAGCAAAATGAGAAATGAGAGGGAAGGGAAAGACAGAGGAGAGGTCTGAGGAAAGGACAAGGGCTGTGAGCCAGAAGCTTCCTCTGTGCTAAGTCACTTAATTCTTGCTGTCACCTTGTGGGGAGTGTCACTCAGCTGTCCTCAAGTCCTGTACCCTTCAATATCCCAAAGTGGGCTTGGCAGCTCATCTGCACAGAGATTCCAGCATTCTCTTTAATACCTCCGTTGAGTTCGGGTGTTTGTTTTGATGGTGATAGTGATTGGCTATTCTGTCAACCACACAAAGTAGAAATACCTGCAGTTAGGTTTTTGTATTAAGTAGCAATGGTTTTTTGGGGGGGTTGGTTTCTCTGCAGTTGTATATGAATAGTCTATTTTACAAAAAAGAGGCTCAATAAATCTAAATAACCTTCTCAGTTAATTATGATACTAATTACTAATAAAATACAGAACTGGAATTGAAACTCAGGGCTGTGGGCTTTAAGTTCTCTTAGTTTCTGATTTGCTGCATGGTCTGTAGGGAGAGAACAGCTTTGGGCCAATTGATACCCTGGGACAGTGCTCCCTAGGCTTCATGAGCAAAAGATTGCTGCTTGTGCAATCCTGCCCTCAGCAGGTGGACACTTGGGACACATTAGGGATGGATTTCAACGGCTTCCTGCTTCCAAGAGGAGAAATGATGAACGGAAGTCTTAGCTCCATGCAAGATATCGGCTACTTCTGACATTGCTGGTTCCCTGTCTCCCTCCCCTGGGTTTGCAATAGGTAAGGAAAGGGCAATGGTACTCAGAGGACCTTCCAATCGGCAACATGCCTTAAATCTTAGTGGCTTTGTGGCATTCATGGCTAAACATCGTCACAGGGAAACTCTCATTTCAATAACTGTAAGGAAGTGTGCCTAAGGAATACTGAGCTCAAAACACATTTGAAAAAGGAATTTGAGAAGGGAAAGCAATGAAAGGAAGACAGATTTTTTGTTTTTTTTGTTTTGTTTTGTTTTTAGTATTTTTAAGACTCTGATATTTAGTACTAATAGTAAATAATAAAGAAAAAGTTTAACGTTCTTGAAGGCATAGAACAAAAGCTTTTGAGCCAGCATGAAATTCTAGCTGCTTTTTAAAAAAGTTTTTATAGAAATCCACAGGGACACTGTTGAGACCATTTTAATTTTGGTTCTCATCAAAAGGCCGCTTTTCTCATCATTCACGGATTAGTAGATTTCTTGAGCTGTGAAAACGATTTCTTCTCATTGATCTGATACACAGGGATGGCACTCTCAAAAGAACAGGGCCCGTGAGTGACACTGCAAAGCACCTTGGAACTCACACCTAATATACTCTTTCATGAACAAGACAGCTTATAAGATTGAGACAGATGCGTTTTTAAGACCCAAACATAGGCTGGGGGTGGTAGCTCATGCCTATAATCCCAGCACTTTGGAAGGCCACAGTGGGCAGATCGCTTGAGCCCAGGAGTTCCAGACCAACCTGGGCAACTGGTGAGACCTTGTCTTTACAGAAATATAAATATTATCTCAGTGTAGTGGCGCATGACTGTAGTCTATAGTCTTAGCTACTGGGGAGGTTGAGGTGGAATGATCACTTGAGTCCAGGAGGTGGAGGCTGCAGTGAGCTGTGATTGTAGTACTGCACTCCAGCCTGGGCCACTGAGCAAGACACTGTCTAAAAAAAGAAAAAAGAAAAAAGAAAAAAGAAAAAAAAAAGATCCTAACATAATGAGTAGTTTTTTTGTTTTATTTTTATATAAAGCATTTCAATTGATTTTTATCCTCCTATAACCTTAATACTCTTAACTATGGATATGGTTTTGCTGTGTCGTCACCCAAATTTCATCTTGAATTGTAGCTCCCATAATTCCCACATGTCGTGGGAGGGACCCAGTGGGAGGTAATTGAATCATGGGGGCAAGTTTTTCCTGTGCTATTCTTGTGATAGAGAATAAGTCTCACGAGATCCAATGGCTTTATAAAGGGCAGTTCCCATGCACACGCTCTCTTGCCTGCCACCATATAAGACATGCCTTTGCTCTTCCTTCTCCTTCCATCATGACTGTGAGGCCTCCCCAGCCTTTTGGAACTGTGAGTCCATTAAACTTCTTTCCTTTATAAATTACCCAATTCTTGTGTATGTCTTTATTAACAGCATGAGAATCGACAAATACACTTATTTTGTAATATTTTTAATTCTCTAGGAATGCAAAGAATTTAACCTTTGGTGATCAATACATAGTTGCAGATATTTATTGTGGAAAAGGAAAAAGGGGCTGGACACAGTAGCTCACACCTATAATCCCAGCACTTTGGGAGGCCTAGGTGAGTGGCTCACTTGAGGTCAGGAGTTTGAGACCAGCCTGGCCAACATGGTGAAACTCCATCTCTACTAAAAACACAAAAATTAGCTGGGTGTGGTGGTGCATACCTGTAGTCCCAGCTACTTGGGAGGCTGAGGCTGGAGAATCGCTTGAACCTGGGAGGCGGAGGTTGCAGTGAGCTGAGATTGTGCTACTGCACTTCAGCCTGGGTGACAGAGTGAGACTCTGTAAAAAAAAGAAAAAAAAAGAGGAAAAGGGTAGGGTCGTGGAATCAAACAGCCAAGGATTACGGACATTACAAACATGGAATTACAATCACACAATTGTTCTGTTTAATTTCTTAACTAACTTGAACTTTTGTTTTCTCGATTGTAAGATCAGGATGACAGTACCTCTCAAATAGGATTGTTTTGAGGATTAAAACTGAGAGCTTATATAAAAAGAGTCTTGAATACTGCCTGGCATGTAGTATTAAAATGGTCATTTTCTTCCCTCTTTCCTACATTGAAGTGCTCATAATCACTATCACTGCCAATTTATTTTTCAGCATAACATTTTGAGAACATCAGAGGCAACCAGATGAGTATTTAATGAAATTAACTGATCATCTCATTTATTTATTCAATTAATATGTAATTTTAGATATGATAAATGGAATGAGCTAGCATAAAAAATATTTACTTGCTAGGGTAATTTCTTCCTGGAACTTAAGTGCCTTTGACTTTTAGTCAAAGAACTCTCTTTGAGAGTCAACTAAATCAAACTTATGGAGAAAAAACCATCAACATAACATCCTGTTACTTGGGGGGCTGATGTGGGAGAATGGCTTCAGTCTAGGAGAATGAAGCTGCAGTGAACTGTGATCTCACCACTGCACCCCAGCCTGGCCAACAAAGTGAGACCCTGTCTCAAAAAAAAAAAAAAATTCTGTTGTCAGTTGACTGATATATTTTATTTCTACCTGCAGTGAACATGTATTTATAAACATAAATTGAACACATATTGCCTATCTCATATATACATGTGCATATATATATACACACACACATAGTATATATTGCATATATGATGCAAGGTGCTTATCCCAGCAGGAAAGGTTTGCAGGCTCATCTCTGAAACTACATTGATAAGAAGTAGAGTGAACATACGTTTTAATTTTTCTCTTAAAAGAGGTTTAGTTTATATCTGCTGACTTGATGCAATTATTAATAAAATCTTCTTGTACCCTCCAAAGAGTTCTAGGAGGTGATAAGAAGTGTTTGGATGATATAGTACATGGTCATCCTAGTAACAGATATCGCCACTCAGGAATAGGGACTTTGTGGCTCCTTTTGAAAGATCCTGGGAAGTAGTTGCCTTGACCATTTCTTGCTCAGGATCGGGATTTCATTTTGAAGTCCTCTGGCGCAGCAACAGCTGGGCTATCCAAGGGGTTGCTATGATGAATGGAAACATGCAGGGCAGCCAAGGCTGGAGGGCTCAAGTAATGGATGTCCAGTTTTACAGGATGCGCTCATGT